TGCCTCCCCAGTGAAGTCCCAGCCTGTGTAGCCTTGGGCAACGTGGACAATACCAGGGCACCCCAAGAAGAAGGGAAGGGTAAACTACTTCTTGTTTGATCATAGGAGGTTCTTCCATTTTTAAAAAAGTTCCCACAAGAGATGGGGCAATGTGTGACAAAAGTTTACTATCTCTTAATGGAGTCACATGAACAACAACTTATGTGGGTCCAACGGAAGCTGCAACAATGGACGTTTCAGTCTATACATCCTTGAACTCAGGCACTGGTAATGGGTCCTTCAACGCGGGGACATTCCAAATCTCTCCCAATTGGTAGATCTCCATAGTGGTTGACTCTTCACTGTGGAAATAGTCCCACAACAAGAGTGTCGAGCCCAGTTGCCCTCAGGTGGTATTGAACGAGTTGGGATCAGATCTGGGCGTACCACTTTCTTCCAAGGACCCTCTTGGGTAGATGTACATGGTCCATTGCAGAGGTTCATCCTCACCTAATTGCACTTCTGCTCCCATACCTTCTTCCGCTTTTGAGTTCCGTTTCCCCAGCTTGCCCTCTGAATTTATCTTTATGGGAAAGGAAAATACTGAAGTCCCCTCGGCATTTCGTGGAGGCAGCGTCCCTGACACCTTCTCTCCCAGGTCTGGTTCTTCCCACTGGGATGATCCCCAGCTTTCTTTTCTTTTATATCTCCCTGCCAATATATCTCCTTCTCCTCTTCTGTTGTCAAGAAGCCCTCCGCTTCTCTCCCAGGTCTGGTTCTTCCCACTGAGAAAAGAAAGCTCTCCCAGCTTTCTTTTCTTTTATATTTCCCTGCCAATATATCTCCTTCACCTCTTCTGTTGTCAAGAAGCCCTCCACTATTGGCTGCTCCTTTTCCGCCTCCACATTCCTGCTCTGTTTTCCTCTAAACTTCCCATCTTCTCATTCTCAGTCATAGCTTGGACCATTGGGTGATAAAGTGAAGACCATGCTGGTTTGCATAAAAATGCAGGTGCTAATTTATATGTACAGATGCAAATTTGGAAAATAAATTAAATAAATTAAATAGAATTGCAATGTATTCTGCCTGAGGGGGCAAAATGTTTAAATCAGACTGTTTAATATAAAGGACAGCTATTCTTCAGCCGCCGTTCAGATAGTGAACTGTCTTCTACTAAATCAGACACATGGCCACCCTGTTAATACCATCTGTAATACACTAGGCCACAACATGGCCCACTTGTCTTTATCTGTGTGTAATTTATCTGAATGTAATTTTAAGAAAGTAATTATTTTCACTCCTGATTACTGATGGGTTCTTTGTCCATCTGTTTGTTTAGGTGAACAACTAAATCCAAGTCATTTGCCTTTTGGCTATTTTCCTGTGATAACTGTAGTCAGCATTTATAGTCAACGTCCCAACTCGCTTCAATTCCCAACCTGGCATAGATATCTGCCATGAATTTTTGAGACTCTTATTTACAACTTTTCTGCACTATCAAAAAAAAAATATTGGTTTATAAGCATGAAGAAATGTATTTTGTCCATGAAAGCTCAGTGTGCTGTTTCTTCAGTCTGCTGGCTGGATAGCTCAGTGGTTTTGGAGGTTGTGAGTTCAGTTCCCCACTATGTGTCCTGTGAGTAGAGCCAGCCTTTGTGGCCTTGGGCAAGCTGCACAGTCCCAGGATGCCCCCAGAAGAAGGAGATGGTAAATCACTTCTAAGTATTCTCTGTTAAAGAAAAAACTTCTCGTTTTTCCGGCAGGGAAAACCATTGAATGAGACCAGGGAATATGGTGTTGTCTTTGCAGTCAGAAATACTCTGGTGAGATCCATTGTTCCACCTACTGTGGGGAGTGAAAGAATCCTGTCTCTGCAGCTCCACTCATCAACAGGACCGATCACCCTCATTAGTGCATATTCACCAAGACTGTCATCCACAACAGAAGTGAAAGACAAATTTTACGATAGTTTGGCAGCTACTATCAAAAAAGTCCCTGAGAGAGAGCCACTGTTCGTTCTCGGATACTTTAACGCTAGAGTTGGTGCTGATCACAATTCTTGGCCCCCTTGTCTCGTCCGTTTTGGCATTGGGAAGATGAACAAAAATGGCCAACATTTGCTGGAGTTTTGCTGTTACTGTGGTCTTTGTGTCAGCAACACGTATGAAGCTTCAACACAGAATTTCCTGGAGACGTCCAAGATCCAATCATTGGCATCAGCTCGATTTGATCCTCACTAGACATTCTAGCCTTCCTAGTATTACTGTCACACACAGTTACCAGAGTGCTGATTGCGATACTGATCACTCCCTGGTGTGTAGTAGAGTAAAACTGTGAAAAAAGATATTGTATCACACAAAAAAGGAAGGAAGACCACATATTGACATCAGCAAGACTAGCGATCAAAGAAAAGTGGAGGAATTTGCCCAAGTGCTTGAGAAAACCCTTCCAGGCCCGACTGATGCAAATGCACCTGAACGATGGGAACATTTCAAGAATGCTGTTTATAACACCACCTTTGTCCACATTTGGCAAGAAGACCAAAAAGAGAACAGACTGGTTCGAAGCCCATTCGGAGGAGTTGATGCCAGCCATCGAGGATAAGATGAGAGCTCTAGCAGCATACAAAGCCTGTCCTAGTGAGTACAACTTGCACGTTTCACATGTTCAGCCAGGTCATTTCCCACGAGCACGGCTGCTGGCAGAGTCGATGAAATCGCTAGCCGCCAAACTCCCCTC